GTTTTTTTGTGATTGTTGCGGGCAAAAATCCTTGATTACGCGGCCCGTTTTCTTTAAAAATGCGATGGAATATGCGGGATATTTATGCAATTTTATGCGATGAAATTGCGGGAACTTGCAAAAATTGCGGGAACTTGCAAAAATTGCGGGAACTTGCAAAAACTGCGGTTTGATGAAAAAGAGTTTGAGAAAAAGAAAAAGTGATTCCCCCAACACCCTGTTCTCACTAGGCTACTACCTTAATGTAAAGAGTCATTTCTTATTACTTTCTATGATGTAGCAAGCATACTACATCATAGAAAGTGCTGGGAATATTTAATTTCTCATCTTGTTTTATTTTTATTAAATTTTCAAAATCAGAGTTTGATATCAAGTTCTTGACATTTCTTTTACATTTTCTGATAAGTATAACATCTGAGAAGTAGCCTAAAACATGAAACAATAATTTGGAAAAAAAAAAAACAAGGAAAAAAAAAGAAAAAAAAAGATAGAGGGGATCACAGACATATTAAATTCCTTTAGCAGAGATACAGATCTTTTGGGCTTTTCGATTTTTTTTTTTTTTAATTTTAAAGACTCAAAATACATTTTAAAGGCTGTTTTGAAATGAGCAAAGTTGGGTTTTGAGTTACTCCACTTAGTTTGATGAATATGAAATTTTCCTAATAATAGAAAAAATCGATAACATACATTTTTCTTATAGGAAAGTCAAAATCATTTGTATGAAGATGACAAATTTAAGACAAGGTTGCAATTCATTTTAAAACCTAGAAATTGAGACATCTCATTCCAAAAGATTGAAAAATAGGGACATTCAAACAATAAGTGCACAATAGACTCTCTTTCACAATTACAAAATCAACAATGTTTTATTTCAGACTGTAACGAGTGTAAATAAGGTGTGGCCCCTTTAAGAGCTGCGCGCTGAACTGTCTGCAGTGTGTGCGCCTCATGTGTGCGGGTAATTTCTGTTTGATGCTTATTCTTTTATCTTATTTTGTTTATTAAGTAACGATGTGACGGTAGAACGTGTGACAGACAGTTATACGAGTTCGATTTGTGAGATGTCAATCGCCTCCGTGAGTCTTTCTGGCCTCTGCAATAACTTCAGCTGTGAGCTATCCCGTCGCGTAATTGCGTCACTTCATAACGTTCCCATGGAAACAGGAGGAAATGGCTGCTCTTGTATGAAGCAAACGCAACATTTTTCAACTTTCTGCGAAGATATATGTGACTTTTTTTTGCAACGAAAATGCGAGGATTATGAAATCATGCAAGCCCCGCATATTTTGCATGGAAATCGGCATTTTATGCGGCGAAAGTGCGGCTTATTTGAAAAAATGCGGCCCCCGCATAAATATGCGGACTTTGGCTGATTTTGCATTGAATTCAGCGATCGCATAATCGCGTTTTTCTGGAGGGACTGAGAAAAGGCCAATATGTTGCCTGTGGTGTTGTTGCTATGGTGTTCTAGGTTGGCGCAATAGAGATGATGTCACGGGAAGTGGACGAGAAGCACCAGTGAATGTCATGTATGTTTAACGTTGCAAAAAGGAAGTAAAGCAAACACGTTCATACAGTTCGAATCCAGAGTCTTTATTTAAAAGACACGGCATTGCCAACTTAGTCTTTGTCGCTATATTTAGTGATATAAAAAAGCGACTAGAGACAAATCTAGCGGCTTTTTGGACAAACCTCAGTAACCAAATGTTGCCTGCGAGCGCGAGGTTTGCTTTCTCCCTGCCGTCACACCTCTCTCTGCGTCCCTGTTCAGTGAACGGCTGCAGTAGAGGAGCAGCACGGCAGCTGACAGACGCGAATGAGCAGTGTTGTTTCCACGGACTTATCACTTATCTGCTTCTCTTTTGTTTTATATTTAAAGAATTGAGTTTGACCATTTTATTTTCCTTTCTTTTCTTGTGTTTATCACTTGTAATAGGCTACTCACTATCACAGTGCATTAGTTCACCCAGTTCCCGAACTCTCTCAATTCACAAAATTTTACACATAAAAAATAGCTAGCCGACTCGTTCTATTGTCTGACAAAAAAAAATTAAGCAAATGAGAACAGCTTTATTGGATATGCGGCTATATTATATTATATTAGCTATTAAAATACATTATCAAACATTTGGTTTTTCCACCATTTAACTTTAGTGGCTATTCCTAAAACTGTATTTTGCACTTTATTAGTATTGGCATCTTTCAACATAAATGCTGCTTAATGTTTGTGAGGTTCTGCACATTGACTTTTTTGCAGGTGCAGATCTTGTTTAAAAAAAAAAAGAAGCTTAGTTTGGTAGGTTTTGCTGTGTCTTTAAATCGTTTGTTTTGCCTTTTATGGTTACTAATGGTTAGTTAGTTTGTTTGTGTGTTACAAAGTGTGTGACTTTGTCTCTTTAGTCAATTCTGGACTACAATAGAGCAGATGCAGATGATGAACAGTGTTTTCTGTGGGACATAATAAGTCCCTTTGGGGTGGACTTTGGACTTTTCTCTCTTAGTAAACCTATAACATGCACAAAAAAATATAACAACACAATAGGCCTAAATGAAAGGGGAAAAGCCAAAAAGCATAATATGGGCATTTTAAGTAAAAATCTATCTATCTTTGCCGTTTTAACCTATAAAAACATGCAGAAGAACATCGCAACTTTTATCGCAACTTTTTAAAAAAGCGTCCGCAACATCAGGCATTTTAGGCCGCAACAATCACAAAAAAGGCCCGCGAAATCCTGGAGGGACTGGTGTTCCCACATCGTTAGCTAGTTTGGATCGCTATAACTTGAATGACTGTCAACTGTTGAATGAACGAGTGTGAAGTATGTCAAGTTGCGCTTTGTTTACTTCCAACCGGAAGTCGAGCCCACTTTTGACGCAAGGCCTCATGGGGCGTAGGAAACTTGTGGATAGTATTTATACTGTGCCCCTTTGTCGAAAAGCAGGAAGAGATGACAACGATGCAAAATGAAGACCTCTGTGTCTCTTCCTCCTATGTCTTCCAAAAATTATAAATAAATTTGAGAGATCTCTTGGCAAAATCACTGGTGTCTCTTTCCATGAAATGAATCAACAACAAGGGGGAAAGCAAAAAAGAATATATATATTTTTTTAAATCTACACAGCTGTACTCTCACTCTGTTGCTTGACGCCAGGAGCAGTAATAGGGAACACCTGGTTGCGCAATTGTGAAATCCCATGAAGGCTACATGAAGCGTCCTTCGAAGGCCGAATAGGCTGCATCCTTCGAAGGACGCAGCCTTCACATTGGGACACAGCTATCGTCACATTGTCAGTCCAAAACTGATTTCTGTGTAGCCGAAATTATTGACTGTACACATTGTATATTGCAACTGTTAAGATCCATTTTTTTTTTCAGGGGTTTGCAATACAGATGTTGTTTTATTTACAACATGACAATGTTTAGCCGCCACGCTGGACTAATGCGTGGCTTTATTCAGAAACAATCGTCTCCGCCAGTTTAAAAGCATGTTTCCACTTTCAGCATGTTTCCTACAACAATGTTTGACATTTACGTTTTATGTGGCATGATAAAGTCACATAACCCCCACAATATCCGAATTTCCAGAAATGCGATTTGAATAGGATTTCAAACCACATATATATGCAGCTTGGAACGGTTTGGTAAAAATTACAGCCGTTCACACATGCTAAATCTGATTAGATTTCAATCAGATATGTACTGAATTAAGATTTTGGATGGACAGTCTGAATTTAGCCTTAGAATAAACACAACTCAATAGGTGTGACACTTGGAGCCCAATAGCGCGATGTTGAAATTAGCGTAACAATTGCGTAACAAAAGTGATTAATAAATAAAAAAAATATTTACAAATGTGTTTAATGTCATGTCACACAACTCTATCTGCATGACATTTATTTGTGGATCACTGCATGTTTTTGGACCTTGAAACATTTCTTGCACCTAGACGCACATAAATCCATAAATAAGTGGACTCCATCCAGTCAAATCAAATATAAGCCATTTCAGATCTCGCTCCAACTAATCATGTTTTGCAATTACTTTACAATGGTTTTCTTAAGTCCATTAGATTGTGCATCAAGGTACAGTGTTATATTTTCTGAGCCTTTGAAAATGCCAGAGAAACAGCACTTTAAATCTCTGTTACATGAACAGCGCTAAACTGGATACGGATGTGTTATATAAGCATTACATTATTCAAGATAGAACAGTGAAGTGTCAATAAGTAGTTGACTAATGAATAACTATTCAAGCTCGACATGCGAGTTTGTGTAATAGGTGAAATTACAGTAACACAACAACCAAAAATGTTTCCTAGTTCTTCAGTTGGTCAGTTTTAATTATGGATATGATACAATCTAATATTAGAAACATGAAATAAATGTATATGACTACCTTTGTAGAGAATACATGCATTTGAATATTTACTTATCGGTTAAACCATAATCACTCAAATAATATTTAATATGGATTAGATTTAATAATTTTTGATTGTAAAAGTTAGTTACATCATCCAAAATAAAATCAAAGACATATTTTTCAACATTTCAAAATTTTTATTTGCATTATCCACTCACAAATCCCCAACTACCCACTGCAGTGATGCTGAGTCACAGTGGGTAGACTCTTGTGCGATTCTCAAATTTTAATACCTTGGAGAATGTATAAGGAATTGAAAGTAAAATCAAGTTATTTTCATCTTTTTACCATGTTGCTTTATTTAACATTTAAGAAAATTTCAGAAAATTCAGAAAATTGAAATAGTCTGGCGAGGTGGGGCCACGGGTCGGCACATTCCCGGGATGGACCTGCTGCGTCTCCATCCTTTGTTTTGTCCATGGTTTCGTCTCTTATCTAAATCTCACCATTGACTTTGGCTGAAAGCTGAAGGTGATTGCTGATAGGCTATCCCAATCAGTGGTCCCTGCACAATCCAATCACGTTTGAGAGGGAAACAGCAAATTAAGGGTTTCCGAGGATTTTATTTTTCCATATATTTTTTTTTTTCCCCAGAAGTAGTAACAGGTACTCACGGTTATGGATAGAAATGTAGTGGAGGAGTACCATATTTCCCTCTCAAATATACTTGAGTAAAGTCATAAGCACTCCCCAAAAATGATACTTAAGTGAAGTACAGATCCCTCAAAATTGTACTTAAGTACTGTACTCAAGTACTCAATGTACTCCGTTACTGTCCGGCTCTGATTACATCACTGATGGTCATTTGGGCTTATATTTGGTTTTAAACATGATATTATGTCAATTTGAAATATTATCCAATTGTAGTTTAAAAGGCAAAATCAGCCATTATGAAAATGTACATCGTTTAAAGGTGAGGTTCTCAACACAGGACACAAAGCAAATGAGCCAATTATTTGTCCTTCGTGTAATAATAACTTGCAATAACTGGTAAAATGACACCAGGTGAAAATAACTCTTAAATGCAAGTTATTATGTGATCCCTAAGGTGTCCTTTGTGTTTGAAACTCAAATTCAAGGCATGTTACACTTCTCTCCAGTGTGAATTCTTGTGACTCTTAAGGTGTCTTTATTAAATTCTTCTCACTCTGATGGCAAGTGGAAAGCTCATCTTCTGTGTGAGTTCTTACATGCCATGTCAGGTTTCCTTTATGTCTGAAACTCTGTCCACAGTGAGGACATATATACGGCTTCTCTCCAGTGTGAATTCTCATGTGTTCATTAAGGTGTCCTCTATGAATGAAGTGCTTTCCACACTGTTGGCATGCAAATGGTTTGTCTACAGGGTTACTTTTTGTGCGATTCTCAAGGTTTCTTTCATTTTTAATATTCTTCTCACTTTGATGGCTTGTGGAAAGTCCATCTTCAGTGTGATTTTTTTTAATGTGCCATGTCAGACTTCCTTTATGTGTGAAACACTGTCCACAATGAGAGCATTTGAAAGGCTTCTCTCCAGTGTGAATTCTCAGGTGTTCATTAAGGTGTGCTTTATGAATGAAACTCTTTCCACACTCAAGGCATACATGCAGCTTGTCTACAGAGTGAATTTTTAAATGAACTTTCAAGTATCCTTTATAACTAAAATTCTTTCCACATTGGGGACACGTGTAAGGTCTCTCTCCACTGTGAATTCTTAAATGGTCATTAAGGTGTCCTTTATGAATGAAACCCTTTCCACACTGAGGGCATGTATGTGGCTTCACTCCAGAGTGAATTTTTATGTGAACATTCAAGTATCCTTTATGATTGAAACTCTTCCCACACAGATGGCATGTGAATGGCTTTTCTCCAGTGTGAACTCTTAAATGATCATTAAGGTGTCCTCTATGAATGAAACTCTTACCACAGTCATTGCATGTGTAAGGTTTCTTTTTAGTGTGGATTCTCATGTGACACTTAATTTCTTCTTGATGTGTGAAGCTTTTTCCACACAGAAGGCATGTTAGAGGGCACTCTTCAGTGTGAATTCTTGTGTGAACCTTAAGTATTCTTGCATTTGGGAACCTCTCCCCACACTGTTGGCATGTGGAAAGTTCTTCCTCTGTGTGAATATTCATGTGCCATGAGAGGCTTGCTTTATGTGTGAAACTCTTTCCACACTGATGGCATGTAAACGGCTTCTCTCCAGTGTGAATTCGTATGTGACCGTTAAGGTGTCCTTTATGAATAAATCTCTTTCCACACTGAGGGCATGAGAAAGGCTTCTCCCCAGTGTGAATTCTCATGTGAATATTAAGATGTCCTTTTTGTTTGAAACTCTTTCCACACTGATGGCATGTTAAATGCTTCTTTCTGGTATGATTTTTTATGTGATCCCTAAGGTGTCCTTTTTGTGAACATTTTTCAGACTGTAGTTTACTAAAAGGTTTTTCTTCCGTTATGAAACTTTCAGGTGTCTGGAATTTCAGATGGTCCTCCACTTCATTCATTTCTTGACTTTCCTCTTTCACTTCCATCTGACCTACAATTAACATTGAATGGTTATAAAAGCAGTTTAAGAAAGGTGGAACAAGAAATTAAGTTCGTCATTGATTATCCCCATCACAAATATTATAAATCAATCGATCTCTGTGGGGGAATTCCCAAATGCTTGGAAATTGGCTATTGTTTCCCCTTTATTTAAATCAGGAGACAGAAAAATGATCTCCAATTATAGACCTATTAGCATTCTGCCTGTAATATCTAAGGTTTTAGAAAAATGGGTGTCTCAACAGATTAGGGATCACTTGAATAACTCGTTATGTTCCCTTCATCCGTTACAATTTGGATTTAGGTCAAATTACTCCACTGAGACAGCGAATTGTTATTTTATCGAAAATGTTAAATCAATGCTTGATAGGCACAAGGTTGTTGGAGCTATTTTTTTAGATCTTAGGAAAGCCTTTGACACTGTTAATCACAGTATTTTACTGTCTAAACTATCTCATTTTAACTTTTCTACGAATGCTCTTAAGTGGGTTGCATCTTATTTGTCCCAACGATCGCAATCTGTACGTATTGGCAGCTTTCAATCTGAACCTCTTCAATTGTCCACTGGAGTGCCCCAAGGGTCTATATTGGGCCCCCTTTTGTTTTGCTTGTATATTAATGACTTGCCGCTTGCATGCCCAGAAGTGAGAGTCCAAATGTATGCAGACGACACTGTTTTATATATACATGGAACTTCAAAAGCAGCAGTGGCTGCCAAACTTACAAAGGCTATGTTTAAAATTAGTGAATGGTTAAACCATTGTAGCCTTCAGTTAAATCTCTCCAAAACAGTGGGTATGTTTTTTAGTAAAACCACCAACTCTGCAGTTGATCCGGACATTTTTATTAACGGTGAGAAAATTCAAATTGTTTCAGAATGTAAATATCTTGGTATTATCATTGACTCCAATCTTAAGTTTAATTCCCAGATTTCAAATACTGTTAAGAAAATAAAATACAATTTATCTAATTTTCGTTATATCAGGAATTCAATGTCTACCCAAGCTGCCAAAATGTTTATGCACTCTATGATTTTTTCACATATGAATTATTGTCTCACTACGTGGTCTCAGGCCAACCACTCCGCCTTGCTACCAATACAATCTCTGTATAAACAAACGCTAAAATGTTTTGATAAGAAACCACATCTTTTTCATCATTGTAAAATTCTATCAAAATATAATTTGTTGAGTTGGGAAAACTTTGTTAAGTTTTCAAATGGCTGTTTAGTTTATAAAATTCTAAATGGCCTGGCCCCACCACCTCTTAGTGAGTTTGTGAGTTTAAGGTCGGATAATAGTCGTCTCACTAGAGGTTCCCTTAGAAGGGACTGTGTTATTAATTTTAGGAAAACTGCTTTTAGTCAATCTGCCTTCTCTATTAAAGCCTCAAAAGAATGGAATGACATCCCAACGTCTGTTAGAGAATTAAATAGTTATAATGAATTTCGTTCTTCTTTTAAAATGTGGCTTTTTAGCATGCAAATATGTCAACATTGATTTTTTTTATTCTATTGTTTTTTGTTTGTTTTTTGGGGGGGGTTTGTAGTTGTTTTGGTTTGTTATGTTTTAATTATAATTGTTGTATGTATATTGTATTTTTAGGATGCCTATTGTACATCTGGCCCAGGACTGCAGATGAAAACTAGCCTTTTGGCTAACTCTGGCATATTTTGACTTGTCATGTTAATATGCACTGTCCTTGTAATAAATAAACAAACAAAATAAATAAATAAATAAATAAATACCAAAAAAAAGAGTTGAATATTTAAAGATAAATTGGCAAAAGACCAGAAGGAATTTTTTTTTGTTAGTCATTCTGAAAAAAAAAAAAATGCTATAGTAACTCATTTGCAATGTACTATTTTAGATGTGTATAAAGTAGGTATGTTCTGTATAATTTGTAATAAATTTGTTATTTTACTTATTGTAAAACACTTATAGAACACTTAGTTCTTTCAAAAATATATGTGCTCATTAATGTATATTTACTTCATTCAAATAATAAAGTATTCTCATGAGTGTATAATATGCCATTGAAAATACATACAGGTAAGGGGTTCTAATGTCGGTCACCATGTTGCCCCTCCATTTTGAAAGTACATTAGCCAAAGAGGGACATACCCGTTAATTCAATTAATTAATTCAAACCCGTGTCGAATGTGAAGAGGGGGATTGTTTAAGACTGATAGAGTATTTTCCACACTATAAAGGACACTTAAAAGCCTTTAATTTTATCAAAAAACGACAGTGTGCCTTATAATCCAGAGCGCCTTATATATGGATCAATTAGTTAACAATGCTCCACGTTATTAAATTCGCCTGCGAACTCGCGCTCGTGTCCATCTTATGCCCGCTTTGTCACACGGCCAGTTCAACCTTATCCTCCCTCAGGTTATGTGTGTCTCCCGCTCACGAGCGCTCACTCTTAACAGACACACGAACAGACAGAATGTCCATAAAGCGCTCCCCGTTCACTGTAACTGGGTCATCATATTCAAAATAGCCAGCTGTTGCTGTCAGCGAGCTGCCGCACATAAATACTCATGAGTCAGGCTGCGAATATAAGTTACGTGCCCGCCCCAGCGCGCTCACGCTTAAATAAACGCCTCACCTCCGACGCCGCACACTCGCTACATTCCCTTTAGCACATCTAGTGGATGCATAACGCAAACCTTGTCAAACGTTTGACTGCAGTATCTAATGCGCCTTATAATCAGGTGCACCTTAAAGTGCGGAAAATACGGGTATATAAAAACCTGATAGCCTTTTTTGAAAGTCTGTTGCTGATGGAGGATCACCCTTATTCTCGAGGATGCGTGTCAGAGTCGCCAAGGAAGCGAAAAAGATAATTAAGACGGCAACGAGAAATCAACAAGAAAGAAGTAAATATTGGAGTGGCCTTTCCAAGATGGAAAGAACTCATGACGAGCAACGATTTTAAAAAGACGCCGACGTTGCCACCTTTCTTCTCGAAAGGTAACGTTAATTAAGCCTATTTGTGTATATTGTAAGTTTTATTGTTCCTTGGCTAATTATAGCATGGTGTGCTGTGCATAACTCTAGAATGACATCTAGGATAGGTCTCACGTCAATGATGAAAAATATTGTTTACCTTGTAACATAAATCCATGTTCTATGATGGATAAACATAAAGATATTATTCATTTTACATAGATGTCATAACCTATATGTTACCTGACAAATTAAATTACTGCAAATTATAATAGTTTTCTAAAATAACCTCATCACTTGAAGGAACACTCATTGACAAAGTCGAACTGGAAGCCATGTTAATCTTGGACTACATTGGCCACCGTATGAGTTACAACGAAATCGGATTTGAGAAGAACAGAAACTAATATTCACTGGATGGTCATATACCTTTTCACCGCTAGATGGGGGTAAAAATCACACATTGTAGCTTTAATATACCAAAATTTCAAATAAAACTGAATTTTAATAATTTGACAATTTCAATATCATAGAACTAACACTAGCCTAACATAAGTAAAAAGCTTACTAAAGACAAGTAAACTAAGAAAATAAAGAAACTAGTTACAAGTAATAGGACAAAAACAATAATAAAAAGACATTAATTCAATAAACAGTGCTTTAAAATGATCAGATAAACACTGCATAGTCTTCACAGTATGAAATATTTTTATTGAAGTTACCAAAGTCATTCAATCAAGAGCATTGAATGATTTACAGACACCAATGAAGAAAGTTATATAGTCTGCTGTTCTTTAATGCACAGGTCTAATATAATGACAAGATCAGATTCTCACACAACTGTTTGGGTTCACTTAAGACATAAAAGAGTTTACGTGAACACTTTCTGAGGTGGGCATTTTGACATAACTGTGTATATGTCCATTTAAGCACAATAAGCAACAAGAACTTGATTCGGTCCTCTTTAAAGCTGTGTGACCAGTGACTTTATATGAATGCTTCAGGTGTGTGCACATAAATTGTAGCTTATCAGTAAGGACTGCCCGGTTAGAAAGAGATGTAGCTGTCAAATCAGGCTTTATTTGTACACTCACCAACCACTTTATTAGGTACACCTGCTTGGCAATGCTAACATCTAATTAGTCAAATCTGAGCATCAGAATGTGGGGGGAAAAAAGTGATTTAAGTGACTTTAAACGTGGCATGGTTATCGGTGCCAAATGGGCTGGTTTGAGTATTTCAAAAAACTGCAGATCTCCTGGGATTTTCAAGCACAACTATCTTTAGTGTTTACATTAAATAGCCCATAATTGAAAAAATATCCTGTAAGCAGCAGTTCTGTGGACAAAAATCCCTTGCTGATGTCCGAGCAGAATGGACAGACTGATTCAAGCTAATAGAAAGGCAACAGTAACTCAAACAAGTACACATTACAACCAAGGTTTGCACAAGAGCATCTCTGAATACAAAATGTGTGGAAAATGCATTGTTACAAAGCTCAAATCCTCTCAGACTGGTTTCTTGAACATTACAGTGAGTTCATTAAACTCAAACGACCTCCACAGTCACCAGATCTCAATCCAACAGAGCAGATTTGGGGAAGTGCTGGAATAGGACATTCACATCATGGATGTGCAGCCGATAAATCTGCAGCAACAGTGTGACACGATCAAGACACTATGGACCACAATTTCTGAGGAAATTTTCCAGCAACTTGTTGAATCTGTGCCAATGAATAAAGGCAGTTCTGAAGGCAAAGGGGTCCAAGCCGGTGGTAGCAAGATCTACCTAATAAAGTGGCTGGGGAGTGTATATCGATAACAATGTACATTACTTCAGGGAGTGTATATCGATAACAATGTACATTACTTCAAAGTCATTTTATAGAAAATATTGCTGTAATAATAGCTTTAGTTGCTGGTCATAGGTCATCATTTGGCAGTTCCATTTAAAGATTAATAAAAAAAATATGCCTTAAAGGGTTAGTTTACCCAAAAATGAAAATTCTGTCAGTATTTATTCACCCTCACGTTGCTCC